CACACACACACACACACACACACACACACACACACACACACACACACACACACACACACACACAACGTGACACACACCTCACTCTCTCATATCCACACGTGCGCACACGCAACACACACATTTTCATGTCTATTAGTGTGGAGCGGCACCTGCTGGAAACTAGGTTCAACATGCCATAAACATCGTGAATAAAGCACCAGTTGGGACCCCTAACACACACGCTCTTCGATTTGTGTATAGCGAACATGACAAAACATACACACAACATAGTCACCATCTTACCCTTCCCCAACCACATCAACAAACAAACTACAGGTTGCGGATCCGTGCCCTCGCGGTAAATCAATACACTTTGGAGGATCAAGCACCCTCTTATAGGCACATTGGAACCCGACTATCGATTTTTATTTATTTATTTGTTTTTGTTTTCTTATAACTATGTGTAATTAAGAAGGAGGGCGCAAAATTAAGAATCAAGAATGTTTCACGAGCGTCATTAGTTGAGAATTATCTAAAGCAAGATGTGAGGCTTTAATTTCACTCGAAATTGATTATGCTTTTCAGAGATGAATCGAAAGTACAGTAGTGAGCTCTAAATAAAAGGATCCAGCGTCTCAGAGTTCGATGGTGCAAAGTTTCAGTATTACTCTCCACAATATTCCCAATCACTAGCCCGTACAACACCTCCGATAGTTGTCATACCTTTTTCCAAACCGTGACTTCTTGGAATGAATTTTCACTTCTCTCCTAATTTTTTTTTAAATTGTAATCTCATAGAGGAAGGTCTCTTATATCAGAGAATAATAGGACACTATTTCAGAAAACGACATGCAACAGTCTCAAGCACACATGCTAAACATGAAACCCTCATTGAGGTCTGATTGACTCATTCAAAATTTGATAAGGGCTAACAGGTATTCAATCAACTATAACATGTCTTAATAATAGTTTATTGTTTTTAGCAATAAACTTAACAATTAAAGTGAGAACAACAATTGAATTTTCAATACACATGATAGAGAACAAGAATATAAGCACACTTTAGAGATATAAATGGGAGTGAACAATGTGTACTTCAATTTCTTAAAAGCAAGTTAAACCACTAGTACTTATCTCATACATGGGTTGTGGGTTTGCTTGTTAAATGTCCGCAGGTCGGGCAGTAGATGCTCAGTCGCTCTAAAAAGACGTGCAAAAACAGAAAAAAAAATAAAATAAAAAATAGAGACAGGAGTCTCAAAGGCTATGCTCGTGTTGGCAGAGTCCAGAATGAATCTTTCTAATAAAACTGGTGATATTTTGATTTTTTTTTTTTTTCGTATTCGTTTAGTCTATTCCCAACGAGGCAGGGCGTGTTCAGTGATAATTATGAAGGTTTTCGTTGTAAATATTAATGCAAACAAGGACATAAACATAATAGGATATGACAATTATCTTGGCAACAAGACGTTAAGATGTTGGATGAACCATCATGAAGATAGACCATACTCTAAATTATTAATTGTTCTCTAAAAGATCTTCTATAAAAGTACTTAGTATATAACTAAATCCAAATAAGGTAGGTCAATAAATGATAACTTAAACCAATAACTTTTAAAACCTGTTTTGCAAAAATTATCAATTGGATTAAGACACGAACTTCAATAACGGGCACAGTATCAGTGATGAGTGGTATTGTACTAGATTCATTGTGGTTCAAGTTATCACACCAAACTTTTGGCAGAAGTGCATTGTCCTCTTTTGAAAAAAATTGTTATCGCGTACCTCTTAACAAATGATTCATAATAATTTAATGACACTCTACAACTCCAGC